GAAACTGAGGGAACATTATGAGTTTCTATACATTTGATGAGCGATACAAGAGATTTCAAAACTCACTCGGTTACAGAAAGAAAATTAAGAGAGGTGTTGGGGTTATTTACTGAGATGAAATAAAATAAATGATTCCTCTAATTCCTAACTAAACGATAAGGTGATGGTAGTGTTCATTGTCGCTTCTGTCAACTGTAAGAACATATATCCCAGGAGTCGAGTACACCTTCCTCATCCCCGCTAGTAGACTCCTTACTTTGGATACACTTTCCCCTAGTTACGTCCCGGGCTGGTGAGAGGCTATGGGAGGCAAGTATCTCTCCCAAACTCGTTATATCAATGAGTGCGAGGTAGATGTCTCCATAGAAAATTTACCTGTAATATAATGAACTCCTTTACTTCTTTTTAAATTGAGTCTCTTGACCAGGTATTGCCCCCCCCCCCCAAAACAAGGTCCTCTTCTCGTTTGCAAAGTTGGTCAATATTTCCTGGTAAACTTGTAGTCACTGATATTCGCTGTCCATAGAAATAAATCCCTTTTCTGTTTTATAGTTAAAGGTTATATTGGATTCCTGGCATAAACCCATTTGAGAATATTTTATTTTTTCGTCCTGACAGGGTAGTCGAGCCGGACTTGTGTGAGTATGTGTGTGTGTGGGCGTGTATGTGTGTTTGAACGTGTGTGTGTTTGAACGTGTGTGTGTTTGGACGTGTGTGTGTGTGTTTGGGCGTGTGTGTGTGTGTGGGGACGTGTGTGTGTGTGTTTGGGCGTGTATGTGTGTTTGGACGAGTGTGTGTGTGTGTGTTCGGACGTGTGTGTGTGTGTTCGTTTGGACGTGTGTGTGTGTGTGAGGGTATGTGTGTATGTATGAATGTATGTAGACTGCCACTTTAACAATAAATGTCACAGGTATTAGTAAAAATTGACGTTCGGATAAAAATAAAATATTTCAGCCTGGAAACAGATTTACAGAATTACGATCTAACCCAAATTGGACAAAGAAGAGAAAATAGAAAAAGTCGTTATCCGAAAAAAAAACTTGTCCTGAATTATGGTTAAAAATTATTCTTGTTGATTAAATGTAAAAAATGCGGCAGGAAAATATTGATATGAATATTTGAGGGAAAATTAAAAATATATGAGAGGAAAATAACGAGAAAAGTGACGGTATGACTCGTGAGCATAATTGTTCTACTACCACTACCACTACTACCACTACCACTACTACCACTACTATTATTACTTCCTTTATTGCCACCATTATTATCACCACTACTACCACAATCATTTCCACCACTACAACAACATTATTACCACCACCACCACCACCACCACTAGCACCATTATTACCACTACCATCATTACTACTACTACTACCACTACCGCCATTACTACTTTTTTACTACTACTACTACTACTACTATTACTATTACTACTACTACTACTACTACTACTACTACTACTAATAATAATAATAATAATAATAATAATAATAATAATAATAATAATAATAATAATAATCAGTAAGTAACAAAGAAATACACGTTTAGTAGTTCACATCAAAGAGTATTTTCCAACCTGGGGCGAGTGTAAAACAGCCTACGTCACATTAACCACCTGGGCGGTATCTGGCCTAAGTTAGTTTAAATCCGGGGTTTAAAGGGGCCCAGTGGGGGGGGAGGGGGGTGTAAATTGGCCTGTTACACCGGAGTCATTATCACCACCAACAACACTCCCACCAGCACACAACCATCTCCACCATTACCACCAATACCAATACCTTCAACGACAAAAGCACTATCACCAACACCACTAGCACCATAACCACAACCACAGTCATTACTACCGCAGTCAAAATCATCACCATCACCACCACCACCACAACCCAAATTATTGACACCAAACCACAATCTTCATCATCATCATCATCACCACCATAACTACAATTGTCACTACGGCAACCTCAATCATCACCTCCTTAACCAACTCCACCACAATAATTGTCACCATCACCATCACCACAATCCCCACCAGGGACCACACGGATAAGTCGGGTTGATAGATCATGGAGGTGTGGTGGGGGAAGTCACACACACACACACACACACACACACCATCACATATCATTTCAGATAAAACAACAATCTGCTGCCAGTTACACATTAAATAAATAACTATGTAGTTGTTTTACACACATGCATACACATGGGCAGCTACGTTTAAAAATAAAAAATTATGGCTCTTTAAAATCAACAAACACCCATGATGACGCATAACAAAATTCCCACCATTTCTATTTTAAATTCAAACGATTGGACATAAATTTACAAATAAACCCGTGAGTTGTTGTGTCCGTGTGTTACTCTCTGTCAGTGAGTGAGTGTCTCTGAAAGTCCTATAGAGATCTGCTGCCGTAGTTGTTAATAGAGAGAGAAACTTTATATAATATTATGGATAAATGTCAATGATCTGCCAGTGATCTGTGCCTCCAGTAGTATGTGGAGGACAGTGATCTGTGTCTCCAGTAGTATGTGGAGGACAGTGATCTGTGTCTCCAGTAGTATGTGGAGGACAGTGATCTGTGTCTCCAGTAGTATGTGGAGGACAGTGATCTGTGTCTCCAGTAGTACGTGGAGACCAATGACCGGTGTCTCCAGCAGTAAAAGATAATACGTCGCATAACTAAATATTTATACTACAACTGCTCCTCCGGCAGGAGTGTGAGAGCACGTCTTGGAGGGTCGTAAAGCCTCAGAGATTGGCACATTAAATTTTCCTTCTGACTGGCGTAACGTGACACCACATATAACGCCTCCATTTACGCTGCGACTCTCAATTGACTGACAAAATAGTGTGTCGACATCGGCCTGAAACTACAGTAACTAAGTATATATTGTAAGCAGGTGAAAAATAGACACCCTAGATTATTTCACCTTACGATTAACCTAACCTAACCAAACCTAACCTAACCTAACCGTCATGTGATCAGATTCTCGTGTACTCAATTACGGCGTAAAAATTTGAGAATCCGATAATTGAGTTTTTTTTTTTTTTAGATTTGGGTTTCAGAATCATAATGAGTTCTGTCGAGGTGAGAACAGGTGGTGATTATAACAGGGTGAGGTCGTTTGTGGACTGTCTGTTAATGTTGTCGTGTTTCTAATGGTGTGTGTGAGGGGGGGGGGTAAAGGTGTTTTGTTTATAATGGTAACAGTGTTTATGTGTTGTCTGGTACGTTTAAATAGTAATTTGATATTAATCCCGTGGTTCTTTATTTTCCAGTACACTTATTGTCTGAATGGCCTTGTGTAGACAGTATAAGGACAGAATGCACATATATACGGGCATACTTTTCGCTGATTGGTCCTTTGTCAAAATTATATAGTGAACCAGTTTAAACCTTCATAAACCTCTACTTAAACCTATCCTTCCCTGTGAGACGCATAGTAGGTGACGTCATGAATCAAACAACCAATCACAAACTAGTATACGTCACTCTGAACCTGACGTCACTCTACATAAGAATATGAGTGATAAAAGTAAGTGGAGAATTTAATGTTTGTCCCGCTGTTCTTATACACGACTCCTGCCGGCCGTCACATGCAACCTAACCTAACCTAACCAGCGGGAATTTCTACGTTTCGACCATAAAAGAACACGCCACTGCAGGCTCAAAGTGGCAAAACGCGACTTTATAGAGGAGGAGGGAGCCATCGGGTGCTGTTGATGGCTCATACTGGCGCAGATATTAAGGAACGGGACACAGTGTTTAATGTATGAATACTTGGAAAAAAAAATCCTTACCTTTCTATTTATTCTCCCGTACCTGCCTATTTAGTTGTAATTAATATGAAAGTATTCTTAAGTTGGTAGATGAAGGTAATTAAATAGTTCAGTTAATAAGAAAATAAACTAAATGTGAACACCTGGGAACTGTAGTAAAATGTATTATAGTCATTTTGTTTTTATTTGGTTCATTGTTTTCTGTAATAGTAAATCGTATTTTTTTTATGATATTGTACAGAATGTTTTTGTGCTTGTATGTGTGTGGGGGGGCTATGTGTGTGTGTGTGTGTGTGTGTGTGTGTGTGTGTGTGTGTGTGTGTGTGTGTTATGGACCTATTCCTGCATATTTATAGGTTCAAGGGTATAGGGGCGTGTAAATGAAAAAAAATCAATATTATACAGTAGTTATACATATTAGAATTCATGTTTATGTATGATTTTATCTTCCCCGCGTAAATTTGACGATCGACGAGGCTTTGGTATATTTTGGCACTCAAGGAAAAAATATAGTTCAGGAAGAGTCAGAAAGAGACTGGTTAAAAATATATATAAATTAGTCTCCCCAAATAAACATCTTGGTTTTGTCTTAGATACACAACAAACAGAAGGTTGAACGTGTTATAGTTAATGTTTATGTTGAATGTTTATAACTTTGCATTAAAATATAAGAAAATATGTAAATAAAAGACATTATACTAGACAAGATGGTTACCAATGTAGTTTTTGGTGAAGAAATGGATACAAAATCTCTAAAAAAAAAAATATTATATGTATGTGACATATTGGGTAATAATGAAACACGCAAAACAAAAACAAAATGAAGAATAGAATAAAATATGTAAACAAGAGGGGTGAAGCAAGAGGTGGAGATGAGAAAAGAAAATAACAGACATTCAGAGCACAGGAGGAAAATGATGGCACAAGACATACTGTTTAAGACTTCCACAGTGTCCAGGTGTGGCAAAAGACTCACCTGGTAGACATAGATAAGCTACACATTTTCAGACTTTAGGAAAACTGAAGAAAATTCTGAGTAATTCATGAAGTAAAATTAACGTAAGAACATTTAATCAATATATATTTTTTATGAACATATAATATGAGAGGATTGCTAGACTCAACAGGTGTCATTAGTTAACACCTATACTGAAAACATATCATGGAAGTCTGTTTTTTTTATCAATATTAAAGAATGGAACAAAATGGATCTTACCTGTCCAGTTTGTTTGACTTTTTCCTCACATAAAACACTATTTTTATTATTGTTTTCTAAAATTTATAGAAGCAAACATATGGCTTTTATTGAAGATATTTATTCTTTAGGTTAGTTTACAGTCACCACACAGTGTATCTATTAGTTAGTTAATGTCGAGGAGTACACAGACAAGATGGTGTAGTTGGACTGCCCGGGAGTTAGGTGCAACACGGAGAGAGACAGACAGACAGACAGTGGCCTAGAGCGTGAGGACGAGTCACCCTCCTCCTACCACCGCTGCACCACGACTGAACCCTCTTTCCCCTCGGCCCTCACTCACCGGCTATATACCTGGACCCACTCACCACCACCACCACTACCACCACCACCACCACTGCCACCCACCACCACCCACTACCACCACCACTGCCACCCAACACCACCACTACCACTGCTACCACCACCACCACCACTACCACCACTACCACCACTACCTAAAACAGAAAGTTAGCTCTGTTAATTCTGTAATCTTGTTGGAGTAGATTATTACTAACTTAAAGACCTTCGTTGTTGAAGCTCAGTAATTACTCAACAACAACAACAACAACCACTACCTACACACACCATCAAAATCATCATCTTCTAACACCATACACATAAATCATCACCACCTCTCCCCCTTTCTAGTATTACAACCACCACCACCAATGCTAGTACTCACCACCTCTAGTATTACAACCACCACCCCCATTCCTCCTGCTAGTACTACAACCACCACCCTCTATTACAACCACCACCACTGCAACCACTACCCTCTGCTACTACTACACCACCACTACCCCTCTGCTAGTATTACAACCACCACCCATTCCTCCCTTCTACTACAGCCACCACTCCCCTCTGCTAGTAACCCCACTCCTCCTGCTAGTACTACAACCACCACTACCCTCTGCTACTACAACCACCACTACCCTTCTGCTAGTTACCCACCACACCCCTCTGCTAGTATTACAACCACCACTACCTCTGCTAGTATTACAACCACCACCACCATTCACTCCTGCTAGTACTACAACCACCACTACCCTTCTGCTAGTATTACAACCACCACTACCCCTCTGCTAGTATTACAGCCACCACTACTCCTCTGCTAGTATTACAACCACCACCACCATTCCTCCTGCTAGTACTACACCACCACTACCCTTCTGCTAGTATTACAACCACCACTACCCTTCTGCTAGTATTGCCACCACTACCCCTCTGCTAGTATTACAACCACCACTACCCCTCTAGTATTACAACCACCACCACCATTCCTCCTGCTAGTACTACAACCACCACTACCCTCTGCTAGTATTACAACCACCACCACCATTCCTCCTGCTAGTATTACAACCACTACTACCATAACTCTACTATATATTACAACCACCACCATCACTACCATCATTCCTCCTGCTAGTATTACAACCACCACTACCCCTCTGCTAGTATTACAACCACCACCACCATTCCTCCTGCTAGTATTACAACCACTACTACCATAACCCTACTATATATTACAACCACCACCATCACTACCCCTCTGCTAGTATTACAACCACCACCACTCCCCCAGGAACCTCGGCAGTGTTCCGAACATAAACACATAACTAACGTGGTTTAAGGCTCCCACTTGTCATTACCTTTTAATCTTTTCCACTGTTGGACTTCTCTACATGTGTAAGTTGTTCAGCTGAAATCTGGTTCCTCAGTTTCCATTCCATAGTCCTAGAACTTGATTTTTTTTCCACATTAAATTGCATCTGACATTTTTCCGTCTATAGTAAAAGTTTGTTTGGGTTTTCCTGTAATTTTTCAATGTTGTTGTTATATTTAATTACATCCAGATAAAACAACATATTAAATAATAGTCGATACTGTAGAGAAAAGTAGATTTTTTTCTTTTGATTGGTTGGTCTGACGTTTATAATCTACCAAGTTTGATATGAGAACGATTTGGTATATGGGTTTTAGCACGAGTTGGTACGGGATTAGTTAACCAGTATTCCCATCACCACCACAACCACCACCATGACAGTATTACACCACTCACGTTGCTAGTTATTTATACCCACTACCACCACCAACACACGGCTTGGCTAGTAGAACGCTCACTACCACTTTTCTGCTAGTATTTACATCCAGCCACACGTCACTGTTAAAATAAAAGGGGAGTGTATAGCCGCGAATAAACAGGAGGAAGGGGCAGAGTAAAGCGAGTCATCTGGGCTAAGTGAATGAACGTCTTTGGGGGTGGGCGGTAATGTCTGAGTTGTATATAATATCCTGCTGAGAGCCTTGGTGCTGTATCTCCTCCTCCGGGTGTACGCTGCTGGAGGAGGGGTAGAGGGTGTTAGTGTGGTGGGAGTAAGCATGTTTTTGAGTATTTTAAAATGTTACGGGCGATATACAATGCTCTTGGGATTTGTGTGTGTGTGTGTGTGTGTGTGATTTTTATGCATGTGTGAATTCATATAAGCATGTATGAATGCATGCCACGTTTACATATAAAAGTGCGTGAGTGTCTTGGGTGTATGTGTATTGGTACAATTCTGCATACATAAATACCATGAAAAAACTTGCATGCGTGTGTTTACAGGGTGAAACTTTGGCCAACTTTCCTTACCTCATTTGCCTCTGTCTACCCAGCAGTAATTGAGAACCTGGATGTTAATCGATTTGGGGATCGTGTTGCGGGGTAATTGTTAGCCAGTGCGGTTGGTGAGTTGTCCGGTCTTCTCGGATTACTCTTTGACACTGGTTAATACAGCTCGTTACCGTAGGATGTGGTTGTTGTTTTGGCAACAGCTTCTATACCTTAAACAAATTCACGCCTGGGTGGCCCTAGGGCTGGCCATAATTTGTGTATGTTTACGTAAGCGTATCAATTGTTTGTGCATATACATGAAAAGTGAAAGGGTGTCCGAAAGGCATGACTGGTTATGAGAGACAGCAATATATCTACGTCTACCTTCATCTTTCCGAGGGATAACTTCGCTCACAACAAACTCATAGACCTGAAGAGGATGAGAGACAAAACAAATGATGGCCCGTAGTGTCAGCAGGAGCCTCGCCCTACCTGGACTCCCTCTTGAGGACCCGGGCCTTTCCTTTATAAATTGTGGGAAGCCGACAGAATACGACAAATGGTAAATTTATTCTCGACGAGACCTTTAACCCCACTTGAGACGACTTCTAGTGGAAACAACCTACGCTCCCTACCAGGCCGTAAGCTCGTGTTTGTTTTATGAGTCTCCTGAACGTACAATACGAAAATGATGAAAGAAACAATGTTAACCGTCGTAATGATTACAGTTGTCGAGTTAACCAGTGTTATTACAGGAACTCTCAGCTCCATCATCCACACCACTTCCCAGATTAAGTAAAAAAACAAAACAACACGAACAAAGGAAACAGTTCAGCCTTGTAGTTACAAGGCTGAGCTGTTTCCTAAGTCAGCAGTCCAGTAAAGGAAGCCTTCTACTGTAGGACTTGACCATCTGCAGGGTCGTGTAGATCTATTCCCTTCTCCTCCCGAAACTCCACCGCACAATCATATATCTCCGGCAGCCTTTACAGTGGGTAGCAAGAATCACCGAGAGCCCCAACTAATCGGACTCAATCACTTTTGGCACAACGCCCACACAAGGTCATGCTGTACTGCTGGAAGGCAAACAGTAGTTAATTTACCTACGTCACCAGCCTAGCGTAAAACCATTTACTACGACAGCCAGAGTAAAACCCATTAGAACTACACAGATCCGGTATACAATAATCATTTTGTTCAAACCAAATCAGAAATTCTCAGTCAAAGGAGAAGAATTATCTTAGATGTTTGAAAGACGATAATTCTCAACTCTCTCTCCATCCCACCAGTCACCAACTGCCAGTTCCAGCATCTCACAATCACGGTTCATTTAAGGTATTTCAGCTACAATAAGGTTTAACGCTGCCACCTGGATCACAGGAAACATTTCACCAGTAAATTCATTTCTTTGTGTAGACTTTGTATTTTTTGTGCCAAACGTAGGAACACCATTGTAGTATTCAAACAAAACCATGTTGTTTTCTTAATCAGGGCGAACTATAACCCTAAAACTCACTGTTTAGAAATTATGCCACAATAGGATAAAAATTGTAGTGAAACACTCTCTATACATCCCCAACTCCTTAAATTATCTAGTAAAACGATCGTTTAAATATAATATTTGTGTCACGCGTGGTAGTGCACAGTGTCTCATCATGCTAAACATTCATTCTTATTTAAAGAGCAAATACAAGTTTTCTGTCACCTTTTCATTCTGTCGACGAAATTTTCAGCATAAAAGTAGGAGTTATTATATCAGTATACAGGGTGACTACTCTGGTAGCCGACCCTGCAACGCCGATGACCTGAAAACAAATATTCCCAATGGTGAGTGAGGCTATTCAAAAGGACATGATACAGTGAATATTGGCCATTATGGATATTAATTCATTAATAACGATTATATTAACGAAACTCCGAGATTATTAGCGAGTGCATTACGCTGTACGTTATATCCGTGAGTTCCTTCATATTAAACGATTCATTCTGTTGTTGATAACGATAAAATGACTTACTATAATGTGATACTATAGAGAGAGGTTCAGGTTCTCCTGTTTTCCTTTAACACAGAGTCTATGTTACTGTCAACCATGAATAGTCACGACATATGTAAACAATACGAGTAATGTACAGATACATACCACATGAAACTCACACATACTACTACTGCTGCTACTACGACTACTACTATTACTACTACTAATAATAATAATAACAACTCACTATGCCAGAGTTACATTTACAACAGGAAATTTATCAAAATTCCGTAGCGCTGTGACGCCACGCTGGTGTTTTTATCTTTTAATATATCGCAATGTAACGTGTGGTGTGTTGACGGTGCTGCCTGTCTGTCTGTCTGTCTGTGTCTGTCTCACCCATGATATTGACGGTATAGCACCTATACTGTTGTCTCTGTGTCTATCTGTCTATCTAATATCTGTCAGTCTACCTGTCTCTGGATTTGTGAGAACCAATGATGTTAATAGTACTGTTTCTGTCAGTCTGTCTCACCCACGATGTACACGGTGCTGCACTTGTTTACCTACAGGTCTGTCACTTTGTCTATCTGTTTTTCCTTCTGTTTGTCTAACCATTTATATCACCCATTAAGTTCACGGTCATCTGCCTATAGTCTCTCTCTCTCTCTCTCTCTCTCTCTCTCTCTCTCTCTCTCTCTCTCTCTCTCTCTC